CAATTGCTACTTCTCAATGCAGTTCTCAAACAAGAAAAAATGCATTTGTGCCACTAGGGGGCAGTAGAACAAAAACTCTTATACAAAGTCTTTGAGAGAAACGGATACCCACGAAACTTAATAATAATAATAAAGTTGGAAGGGACCTCGGAGGTCATCGAGTCCAACCCCCTGCTCAGGCAGGAAACCCTACACCGTTTTGGACATCTCTACACACAAACAATACAAACACCCAAAGCAACACAACAACTACAACAGAACAACAAGGACCAAACGAATCACAATTCCCTACGTACAGAATGTTTCAGAGATGACAGCAAGATTACCACACCCACATGACCTCGCAGCAGCCCACAAACCAGCCTCAACTCTCAGACATATTGTCAAAACCTAAGGAGCAAATAACACCCACACCAATTTACATCACACAAAAAGGTATTTAAAGGCCAGTGCTCTGACAGATGAGCACAGTTCAAAGCGCACTGAAGGTGTCCCCTTGAATGGAGATGAAACGTTTGCAGCCAAATCGCCAAGCTCAGAGATCAAACCAACAGCCCAACATATGAAGAACGTTTGCGAGAACTAGCTATGTCTAGTCTAACAAAGAGAAGGATGAAAGAAGAAGGGGACATGATATCAGTCTTCCAATATCTGGGGGAAGTCGCAGAGAAGAAGGCGATGACCTACTTTCCTAAGCACCTAAGACAAGAAATAACAGATGGAAGCTTAACAAATAGAGATCCAACCTAGAATTAAGGAGAAATTTCCTGAAGGTGAGAACAATCAATCAATGGGAATGGCTTGCCATCAGAAATTCTGGGTGTTCCATCACTGGAGATTTTCAAGAAGAGATTAGACAGGCATTTGCCCGGAATGATCTATGTCAGTGATGGCGAACCTTTTAGAGACCGAGTGCCCAAACTACAACCCCAAACCCACTTATTTCTTGTTGGGTGCCAGGTGGGCGTAACCCACTGGGTGGACGTGGCTGTGGTGGTCATGGCAGATTGGGTGGGTGTGGCCAAGGTGGGAGTGATCACCTCGATGTTACTCGTGGGGAGAGACGCCTGTGGGGGCCGGGCAGAGTTGGGGGAGATCCAGGGGGTCTCTGGCAGGTGGGGCGGTGGGCAAGAGGCTTGTCCTGCGGGGTGAGGCGAGGCAAGGCGAGGCAGGGGTGCTATTGTCACAGGGCAAGGTGAGGCAGGGGCCGGGGCGGCCGCTGCCTGACACCATCAGCCCCTGCACACAGAGGCCAGAGAGCGCATGGGTGCTGGGATGCATCCGGCCATGTGGGACCTTGGCAAGTTAGCAGGCGGTTGGTTGAAGAGGGATGGTTGCCATCTCCGGGGCATGGCGCGCGTGTCCACAGAGGGGGCTCTGAGTACCACCTCTGGCACGCATGCCATAGGTTCGCCACTACTGGTCTATGGTGTTCTGCTCAAGAACTACTAGAAAACCACCAAGGTCCTTTCCAACTCTCTGACACTAAGTTCTAAATTCTAAGCTCAATGTTAACTCACAAGATTATTGTGGGATTAAAACAAGAGAGACTCCCATGTATGCTATCCTGAGGTCTCAAGAGTAAAGTAAAATGCAAACATGATAACTAAATTATCTAACTATAAAGAGAAAGAGCTATACTATTTTAGAATGAACAGCTGCTCTATTTCACAAAAGGTAAATTGGTAAGTTCCAAATTACATACATCGGACCTGGCTACCTTCGAGACTGCCTCCTGCCACAGATTACCCCCCACCGACCTGTACGCTCCCACAGAGTGGGTCTCCTCAGGGTGCCGTCAGCCAGACAGTGCCGGCTGGCGACCCCAAGGGGGAGGGCCTTCTCTGTGGGAGCTCCCACCCTCTGGAACGAACTGCCCCCAGAGATCAGGGTGATCCCTGATCTCCCTTCCTTCCGCCGCGCCCTCAAGACATGGTTGTTCCAGCTTGCGGGACTGGCCTAAGGGATTTTAAAGGGGTTTTAATTACTTTTAATCAGATTAGTTTAAATATTTCTTTTTAATTAATTTTAATAGGTGTATTGTATGTTTGTATTTTATCTAATTGTTAGCCGCCCTGAGTCCGCAAGGAGAAGGGTGGGATATAAATGTAATTAAATAAAATAAAATAAATAAAATAAATACACACGTACATACACACATACATACATACATACACACATACATACATCCCCGTAAAATAGCACAGCAAGCATAATTTCTAATTATTTCCTAGGTCCTTTGCAATTTTATAATTGTAGGAAAATCAACCAACCATTCTTCCCCATTCTAGGTTTCTCTTAGCTTGCTTCTGCTGTGGTTAAAGAAACATTTCTACTCACTTGACAAAACTATCCAGCAAATCGACATTTTTTCGATCGCTCACAAATTCCCCAATCATTTTCTTGTCCAGTCTCGGATTTTCTCTCAGCCACTTAGCCACTTGATTGTTGTCCATTGGGATAGACAAGAGATTTTTCTCCTGAAGAAGCTGTATTCCTTTTTTGGGCTTTTGATTGAACTGCTCTGAGCCACTTATCAAGAGCTTTAAAAAGTCAAACGAATGAATTGATTGAGTTATACTTTATAGTGAGATTGCTCTTGTACAAATCATATACTGTCTGTACAGAGAGTATGTTCTTCTTTAATCTTTAGATTTGGAGACCACTTTTAGACCTTATTCCACACAATCAGTTTTACATTAGTAAAATTCAATATAGTCATTTTCTTGCTTAGCAACGATTTAGAAATACATTGGCTAATAAAACAATTTTGACCAATGCCCATGCTTATACCACTTTCTATGCCTGATAACAGTACATGCTGGACTAAGAGTAATGCTGCATGAGAGAACTTTAAATGAGACAGCAGCAACCAAGTGATCTTTGCAACATCTCCCTCTCTCTCTCTATTCTTTCTTAAGAAACAATTTCACTTCCAATTTAAGGAACAGTTTGCTATCTTCTTAATGGACTTTTGATGACACTAGGACTGAAATGATAATGCTTTATGGATGTGTTTATAGACAAGAGACGGGATGGGGAAGAAGAGATCATTTATTGTATATTAAGAGTACGTGATAAACTAATAAAATTGTTTATATTTGCGATAAGGCGGGAAGTCACTTCTTTATATGTTTTTTCTTCATTTATATTCTTGCTTTTCTTTCTATTTCTCTATTTATCCTTCCTTCTTTCTTTCTATTCTTCTACAAGTAGTCCTTGCTTAACCACTTCTTTGGTTTAGTGACAGTTTGAAGATGGTGCTAAAAACGTGGCTCAAGACCGGTTCTTGCTTATGATTATCGCAGGATCCTCAACAGTCACGTGATCATGATTTGGGCATTTGGCAACCGTTGCACATTTATGACATCCTGCAGTCACATGATCTCTGAGGAAGACGGGGGTTTAAGAATGGCATATTCAGATTTGATCCCCCTTTCTTCTTTTATGCCTATATATACTATTGTACTTAAGAATAAACTCCACATCTTTACTGTATGCATAATGACCATATACGTATAGATGCTTCAGAAACAACATGTCATACCTTTTTTTTATTCTTAATCATGATCAGTTCTTGTGTTGTAGGCAGGAAGCAGGAAAATCGAGTAGGCTTTCTCGGGACGACCTTTTCTGCTAAAACAAAATTTGTCTGCTTTTACAGTAGAGCCTTTCAAATAGCTAGCATTGCTGATAATAATCAATGAAAACAATTTTAAACTTCACAACCCAGCAGTGCTGCACTTTTTTATCAGCCACAATTCTGACAGAGATTATTAGTTAACAACAACAAAAAAAACAACAACCAGGATCTTGAGATTCAGCTGTATATATTAAAATAAGAGGAGGGACAATACAAAAAAATACTTTCTAGAATTTTGCAGTAGAAATACAATAAAGTCCCAACCACTGAAAAAAGGATGAAAGGGATGTATAGCAGTATACTATGTATGAGATAAAACACCAAATATACCATACATATACAGTATATGGTACACATATATACCATACTAATATATGAAAAGTCCCCAAATCATTCACCAGTCTTATTCACAGCCAACTAGAATGATGTACGACAAAACCAAGTCCATTATTATTTATATGCTTCACTGTTCCCCTGCTAAACTAAAAATCAGATTTACCTGTATCTTTTTCCATGTCTGAATTCACGCAGTCTTGCTGTTTCAAGTAGGAGGTCACCAAGCAGTCATTACTCGATGGACACGTCTCCGGTAATTCTGCACTGGATGATTTAAGTTTTGTTTGCAGTTCTTCAGAAACTATAGGATAAGAAAAGTGTCTGTCTGTCTATCATCTGTTTTTGTAGGCCACATATTTTTATGATTCTCAATGGCTTACAATGCATAAAACTAAAACTAAAAACATCCATAAAGATACTGGTGAAAACAAAAAGCAATTCAAAGCATTAAATAACGCTTATAACAATTATTGCTATTATTAGCAATCACTGCTGCTCAAATGCCCTCTTAAAGAGGGCTATCTTTATTATTTTACAAATGAGTAATGAGGTTATTAATGTTCAAGTGGGTACATATAACAAAAGGCACTCCCTCAAATATTGGTGTCCCAAATGTGTATGTCCCTTGCTAAATTTGACTGCAAAATTAAAAATGAAAGTAGACCTTGAACGGGAAAATTCCACAATAGACATTAAGCAGGTCTCAGAGTTCATAGACGTAATTGCCTATGGACAATTACGATGGACAACATGGAACAGAACAATTGTTGCCTGCAACAAGGTCAAGAGTGGCACATGTCACCATCTGGTTAAGAAGAAGATATCAAATAAAGGATTTCTCACTTGCTTCTCTGATGTTATTGACAATTTCTGTGTTTGGTTTTAGTATTTCTTTCTCTTGCTGATATATGCCCCTGAGTACTTTGGCTTGGCATCGTGCTTCAATCTGATCAGTCACCGTCAACAATGCTTCAAGTGACAGCAAATGAGTAGTGTACAGTTGTCCAGAAACGGGAAAAGCATTCTGAAAAATCAAGCACAAATAAGGCTATATCTCCAACTGCATATGGAAATTTAAATACAGCTTCTATTTAACTTAGTTCTCTACACAGCTATTCAAGCCTTCATAACTTTTTGCCATCCTTAAACCTAAGTCCCCACAAGATTAGGGTTGTTTTTTTGTATCTTAAAACACTGTTGACTCAGTACATAAAGCTACATTTCTACTCAGAAGATTTTACGTACTTTGTGGGGGGAATATACGCTTGCTGAACTATTTACATTAATATTCCTACTAGAAAAATCTGAAATACGGGTAGTCCTTACGATACAACCACAGTAGAGTTCCTATTACGGTTGCATGTTGCAAGTGAAGCATCTCGCTTAACAATCCCCCAACCCTGCTCTCACCACAGCAATCGTTAAACTAATGTGCAGGTTGTTAAGTGGAGCATGGGATGCCTCAGGAGTAGGGGATGCAGGCCTTGTACAGGCCCATGGCCATCTGTCTCAGTACTCCAAAAGCCTCCTGAGACATCTCTCCCTCCACATAGTGTGCCTTGGAGGGATCCAGGCCTTTGCCTGCTCCTACTGGTTCCCAAACCTTAGGCCTGGTTCCCACCTCACCGGCCCAAATACCCTCCTCCTCACTTATCTTTTGAAGAGCTCTGAGGCCTTCCAGAGTGTTGGAACGAATTGCTGCCCTGCTGTGCAAGTTCGTTAAGGCAGCAAAATGGAGGGGTTTCTCTTGTAGCTATCCACAGGGGCAAAATGGCAGCTATTTCTGGATTGCTGCCCTGAGGCCCAGTAACAAACCATTCCGTTTTGCTGCCTTAACGAACTGGCACAGTGCTGCAGAAAGATTCTAAAAGGCAGCAAAATGGAGCACTATGTACCATGGTACAATTCCAGAATCATGCCATGCGGCCGAGCAACAAAATAATCCATTTTAGCACTATGGAAAGCTTCGGAGCTCTTCAAAAAGTAAGTGAGGGAAAATGGTGGAGCCTGTTGGAGTGGGAGTCAGGCCTAAGGCTAGTGGGGAGTCGTTGGGGGAGGGGAATGCTTTTAGGGCCAGGGTGGGCGAAAAAGGTAAGTGGGGTTGCTGCAGTGTCCCCTACGGTTGGTCGTAAGAGTGAATGAACATGGGGGCGTTGCAGCAGCTACTACTTTGAGACCAGGTCATAAGTAGCTTTTGGGGGGATCCGCCTAACTTTGAACGGCTGTTAACCGACCGATTTTAAGTTGTGGATTACAGTAATTATAAGATGCCCATCCCACACACAGAGTAGAAATCTGGTGGAAATGCTCCATTCACTGGGTATCCATGTATTAGTTGTATAATTTGGACATTTCCAAATCTCTGTTCTATATTTAAAAAATGATATCCAATATAGGATATCTAGAAATTTGTTTGACCACAGTCTAAGCAGGCATATCTCAGAGTATATCTGAAAATAACTGATATCTCCATTATTTATAACCATGCTTAGATTGTGGTCAACCAAATCTCTAGATTGTCTCCCTGTTTTTTTTCACATTGTCCTCAGCATTATGATCAGGTAGGTAATAGCTGATCATTAAATCAGGTTTTTTTAACCATTTTTTGTTATGGATTCCTTTGCAGATCTGGTGAAACCCAGGATTCCTTCTTAGAAATATGTATTTAAATACACAAAATAAAATAATGAAACAAAAAAAAATTCTTCCCAATTCATGGATGCTCTAAAATCTGTCCAAGGAGCCCCAGGTCTAGAAATTCACTGCAAATTTAATTTACATTTGTGGCTAGGTATTCCCATCCACAGTGATACTGTGAAAGAATCTGAACTTCCATTACTTTCTATTAGATTTTATACCGTGCTTGATAAAAAGAGAAATCACAGTAGTTAGGAATTCCTCATGTGGTATTCCCAGTTCCAAACTTTCATATTTTGTACAAGAAAACAGTAAGGATAATTGACTAAATAGTACACACCTAACCAAGTAGGGAGATTTTGTCCTCAGTGTCAAACTGACTTTAAAGAAAGCATTCTGGAAACAGCATGCCAGTGATCAGAATCATAGTCCAAAATGATTTTTTTTTCCTACGCACAGACCTAACATCTATTTTCTCTCCCCCATAAACAGGCTAAATTCAAGCATATATTACTGCAGTTAGATTTCAACGCATTTCCACCAACAATCATGGTTAAGTTTTAAAGCCTGATTACAGTATGAGGTATTTTTCTGAAGAAAAGGTACAAGACTAGAAATGGCCATTCCAACTGAATTTCTCTTCAGAAAATGTTCCTACCTAGAGTAAAGATTTTAAAAAGCCTCTACTTAAGGTGATGTTCTGAAGCACTTCTAGAGTATAGAAAAGCTTTGACCGGGTTATAGAGTGAATGAGAAAGGAGGGTAGAACTTGTGAGTCAAACTGGGAACTTCTGCAGCCTTTTGGAGAAGTTTCCTAGATTTTTTCCTTACAAAATAAACATGGATTATTATTTTTGGGCTTGTAACTGTACTGAAAACTCCCAAGAAATTCTTCCTCAGGACCTTGGATAGCAGCTTGCTGAGGTCTTCAAAAAGGTTAGCACAGTAGTAGTCACAATCATAGTTAATGTAGAGTTCAGTTACAAAGCTAGGAATCCTCCATAGCTGAACTATAGCCTCCAGGGCCATCTCCTTCATTTCATAAATCATCTTGGGGCTTTCCACTGTGATGATCTCCATCAGTTTCTTGATATACATCTGGCAGAAAGATACAGGATATAGTTCAGTTTATAGGATATATATGTGATTCATATATATATATATATATATATATAACACAGGTGAATATTATACGTGATACTTTCTTTTCTTGGTCTCTACTCTTACTTTTCTTTTCTTTTCTTTTTTTTAGTTTTTATTTTTCCTTTTTTTCCACTATACAACAAAAATAAAACTGAAAAAATACATTTTTTTCCCTTAACAAAACTGTGTTATACATCTCTGGTATAGGGTTTCCTGCCTGAGCAGGGGGTTGGACTAGATGACCTCCAAGGTCCCTTCCAACTTTATCATCATTATTATTATTATATATTATTTACAATTTATTTACATCAGTAATCATGTATTTTTCTTTCTTTGTTCTAGCCAATCATAACATTTGTTCCATATTTCATAAAATTCTGTTGCCTCCTTGTCTTTTAATTCTAGCGTAAGTTTATTCATTTCCGCGCATTCAAGAATTTTGTATATAATCATATCGTTTGTAGGTATGTTTTCACCCTTCCAACACTGAGCGTATACTATACGGGCTGCTGTCAATATATGTATAATGATGTGTTGGAGTTGCTTTTCCATCTTTGAATTTATTATACCCAGAAGAAATAGTTCAGGTTTGAATTCAATTTGCATCTTGGTTATCTCCTGTATCCAGTGCCCTATCCGTTCCCAATAGCTCTTTGCTTTGGGGCACAGCCACCACATGTGATAGAATGTTCCTTCCTTATTTTTACATTTCCAGCATTCCAGATTCATATTTTTGTACATTTTGGCCAATCTTGCCGGTGTTAAATGCCATCTACAGAATATTTTGTATTGATTTTCCCTATATGCAGTTGACAGTGTCAGTTTGCAATTTATGTTCCATAATCTTTCCCATTCTTCCAGATTCATATTTCGGCCCACATTTCTCGCCCATGTGATCATTGGCCCTTTCACTATTTCTTCTACTCTTACTTTTCTATTCCAGGCTTTGCAATTGGAGTTTCAAAACAATGACACATTTTGATTATAAAATGTATCATGATAAACAATTACATTAGAATAAAAGAACACAAAAATGCAAGCATATGAAGATTTCTAGTGAGCGTTTTAATGATACAGAATATTTTTTTTCAAAACGTCCCCAGACCTTCCCCCAAATGGGAATAATTTCTTCCAAAGATTAGGTAACATACTTCAAGAGGCTCACCTCCAGTTGGAATTTCAGATGCTCTCTCATTTTCTCAAATAAAAGGAAACAAACCCTCAGGGAAGCTGCATATAAATTGAGCCGCTCCATGTTCAATAACTGGAAATGAATGGAAAGTTCAAAGATAATGAATATAAATAAATCTATTCTTTCCACCATTCCAATCTAAGCTAATTATTCCAAAATGATTTAACGTACAGGCCGTATTTTTTTAAAAAGATGAGAAAGCTATTGTGTTCATGCTTACTTGAAAGAGATACCGACATAATTCTTCTTTTACAAGTTCTAAGAGAGATGGGCAGTTTGCCACACACGTCAATTCAAGAGCAACTGTGAGTAGCTGTAGACCCATGTGTATCATCACCTCAGAATTGTGTCGGTCGTGTGGATTAGTGAGGGAGATGAGGAAACGCAGCAGTTCACGAATACAGGGCAATCCGTAAGGGACTAATGTTGTTCCTTGAAAGAGAGAACACGCAAAAACATTGCAACTACGGCACTCCAGCGCAGCATCCTTCCAATGAGTCAGAAATACATTATTCTTGATAGTGGCAAATTAATGGTATTTGGATGTTTTTAATGACATAGGGACAGTGGTGGCGAACCTAGGGCACGCGTGCCAGAGGCAGCACTCGGAGCCCTCTCTGTGGGCACACGTGCCGTTGCCCCAGCCTCGCCTCCCCCCGCGACCCCACCAGCAGCCCCCCTGGAGGAGAGTTGCTCCCGAGAGTAGCCCACATGGAGCAGCGCAGCCAAGGACATGGCAGCCAGGCAGCGTAGACAAGACTCTGCCTTCATGCCCCATCGTGCACAGTTGATGCTGTGGGGCGTGGACAGAGGGCATGGCCGCCATGGCACTACTGGGCTGCCTGGGTGATCTGTGGTGGGCCATGGAGGGGGTGAGTGGCCCTGCAGGCAGACGGGACGGAGGACGGGGTGGGGGAGGAGCGGGGGCAGGGCAGGGGGTGAAGCAGGGGGTGGGGCAAGTTTTGGGGCACTCAGTCTCTAAAAGGTTCGCCATCACTGACATAGGATGAAAACCAAAATTACTATTACATTTGCTCAATGCACTCACCCTCTTTTTGAGAACACTGAGTAAATCGTACTCCGCGAGGGTTTACGTAGTCCATGTCATGAATTGAAACGGAATCTGAGTGTTCAGTTACAGAGGTGCACTCTTCAAGAACCTCTGGGATGGATTCGACGGAGGCAGATGGAGTCTTTTCCCTCTGATGATATTCGTTCTTTAATCACAAAGATAATAAGGCAGAAAATTAGCACAGGCTAATATTGCTACACGATACAAGTCTTTCCATATACTACTTCACTGACATACATAAACCCATACACTAAAAGAAAAAAAAATCAGTCTTCTTAATTAAAATGACTCAGCTGCGGCTTGCACCTACAACAGCAGCAAATGATTTTCTGTTCCTAACCACTTTAAGAATAGTAATATATTCAACGGTAAAAGCCTTTTCAAAGTTTAAATTTCAACTTCCACCAATCTTGCCAAAGACGAGAGAAACTGGAAACTGTATTCTTAAACATTTCACAGTCATCCAGTTTGCCTATAGTCTATTCAAAGATTTATGTAGGCAATTTGTCCCACTGTAAAATTGCTCTTCATCTTAAAAGATTTGTGATCTTCATAATCCAAACCAGTCAAAATAGTGTAAGGTCAGTGCTGAAAAATAATTCTGGTAATACAAATTATGCTTGAGAAGACCTACACGGATAGCAGGTATTAATGTTTGAAATACAGGTGTTTTTTTAATTGTTTTTAATTGTAATAATTATTCTGCAAGTTTCATAAAAAAAGTAGATTGGAAATCAAATGCATACACACAGAAAACTATTTTTCATCTTATTACTTTTACACTTATTTACAGGGCTATTCAGAAAATGCAGTGATGTATCCATCGCCCTGTTTTTTTGTTTCAGCCTCTTTTAGCTAATATTAATCATCGTTTTCACATGCTAGTTTCTTAATGGACTCTTCCTTTTGGTTTGGAGGGGAAATTAAAATCAAGCTACTTAAAATTACACTGCTGGCTAACTGAATAAAATAAAAGTACTGTTTGGTCTGCTGAGCTGTAAAGGAAATCCATACCTGTAGTTCTAACTGCTCTCTGGCTCTAAGCTCAGTTAAGGGCATTGTTGTACTGATTCCCAAAGATTTGACAAGTTGTAAATCTGTAAGATCATCCTTCGAGCGAATTGGGGGAGACAACTCTACACCACTATCAGTGACAGGACTAACTGCAGAAGACACATTTTCTGAATTTCCAGATGAAATTGGAGAAGGTACATCAGTGACATTGTCCTCACCTGTGAACGATAAATAGCAGCAATGTTAATCATATCTTTATTTATAGTACAGTATCCTCTTTCTATTTTTTGTATCTGGTATACGTGCACCGTTATCCATTATTTCAGGCAATATAACAAGGGGTGGCCTACCTCAGGGCTTTTCAACCTTTTCACCCATTGTACCACTTTTAGGATATGGCAACATCCGAGTACCACCAGTCGCCTAGCAAGGTGTCAAAAACTTGATGACCCCCCCCAAAAGGAAAAAAGTGATGAAGTACAGGTATTCCTCAACTTACAACAGTTTGCTTAGTGACTGTTTGAAGTTACAATGGCACTGAAAAAAGTGCCCCCCAAGCCACAGCCGACCAAGACACCTGCCTGCCCACCCAGCGGTGCTCTTCCTCCTATCTGAGGTTTCCATTGTTGTGAGCATTTCTGTTGAGAATTGGCAGCGGGGGTGGAGTGGGAGGTGTTTGGTTTTTATTCCCCCCCCCATCTGCTGGGTGGTTGCAGCAGGTTTTGGACACTTCACATGACCCTGGGACACTGTGACCGTCATAAATATGAATCAGTTGCCAAGCATCTGAATGTAAATCACAAGACCCTGGAGATGCTGCAACATTCCAGCTGATCGGCGCTTCTTCAGGGCTCAGCAGAAGCACCAGGATCAGTGCTGCTTTCCAGCTGGAGCCTGGTGCTGATCCTGGCGCTTCCGCTGAGCCCTGACAGCCCCGAAGAAGCACCGATCAGCTGGAAAGCGGCACTGATCCTGGCGCTTCCGCTGAGCCCTGATAGCCCTGCAGCTCCAGGCATCTCTTGCTCAGGCTTGTGCGGTGCTGCCACCGGTTTAGCTCATTCCCCTCCCCCGCTACCACTTTTCTAGGATGGTCGCGTACCACCTGTCAGGTGCCAATGTGCCACAGGTGGTACCCGTACCACTGGTTGACAAGCCCTGCATTACACCATATAAAAAGACTCTTTTTCCCACTATGTATGCTAAACCAGGGCTTTTCAACCTTTTCACTTTTAGGATATGGCAGCATTCGAGTACCACCAGTCACCTAGCAAGGTATCAAAAACATGATGACACCTCCCCCCCCCCAAAAAGGAAAAAAGTGATGAAGTACAGGTAGTCCTCGACTTACAACAGTTCGAAGTTCTTAGATCCTCACAATCTAGCACCAATTTACCTGAAAGAATGTTTCTTGTTTCGTGGAAACAGGAAAGAGGGAGCTGTTTCTCAGCGATTACCCAGAATTAGAGTACGTACATTTTAGTAAATAAAAAATTATTTGCCATACCTGTGCCATTGACAGTTGACTGTTCTATTCCTTGAGGTACCTTCGTTACGTGACAAGAGTTCCTTGGTGATCGTTTCTGCTTCTTCCATTTTGATGAGTCACTCATCCCTCCTGCTCTCATTTTCAACTGTGAATAATAAACACAGGTCTCCTGTAGCCAGAAGAATTGTGACAATATTCTATTAACTCAAAACAATACCCCTGCCAGTTTTATTTGATCCAGGGATTCATACTCCAATAGGACAGCATATATACACACAAAGAATGTAGCTCCAAATTGATTTGATGGATTTCGGAGTTCACCCGGCTTTCGGATATGTGATATATATTGACATATAAATAAAATAAATGAATAAACAAACCCTTTATTGTCAAAGTATAACAGTTCCCCAATGCAGAAAAGGAAGTATTGTTGAACCTGTTGGGAAATTGATTTCCAGAATCCCCTTTCTCAGTTAAAAGGTTGCATTCTTTTTTATTTTATTTTATTTTGAAACTGTATTCTAAAAACTTATAAACTAGAGATCCAATTTGATGTAGTGGTTAAGACAACAGGCTAGGAAACGGTTCTTGTTCCTTCTAGAGCACAAAGCGACCTGGGGCCAGTCAATCTCTCTAAACCTTAGGAAGAAGGCAATGGGCAACTAGTTTAATGAAGAGAAGGACGAGGGGGGACATGATAGCAGTGTTCCAATAGCTCAGGGGCTGCCCCAAAGAAAAGGGAGTCAAGCTATTCTCCAAAGCACCTGAAGGCAGTAGAAGAAGCAACGGGTGGAAACTAATCCAGGAGAGAAGCATCCTAGAACTAAGGAGAAACTTCCTAACAGTTAGAACAATTAACCAGTGGAACAACCTGCCTCCAGAAGCGGTGAATGCTCCAACACTGGAGGTTTTTAAGAAGAGACTGGACAGCCATTGGTCTGAAACGGTATAGGGTTTCCTGCCTGAGCAGGGGATTGGACTGGATGACCTCCAAGGTCCCTTCCAACTACTACTACTACTACTACTACTACTACTACTACTACTACTACTACTACTTCTTCTTCTTCTTCTTCTTCTTCTTCTTCTTCTTCTTCTTCTTATTATTATTATTATTATTATTATTATTATTATTATTATTATTATTATTATTATTATTATTATTATTATTAAACATCTTGCAAGAAAATAGCATGAAATTGCTAGACCTTTATGAAGATTCAAAGGCACCAAACAAAACAAAACCATTATTTAAATAAAAAAACTTTGCAAGCTAAGAATTGTGCAGGTCATCTTCAACTTACAACCATTTGTCTAGTTTGAAGTTAATGATGGTGCTGAACCAAGGGACTTACAACCTGTACCTGGAAGTTATAGCCACTGTATAACCCAGGGGTAGGCAACCTTGGCTCTTTTATGATTCGTGGACTTCAATTCCCAGAATTCCTGAGCCAGCATGGCAAAGAATGGAAACCTCTCCCTTTCCCCTCAGCATGGCTGGCTCAGGAATTCTGGGAGTTGAAGTCCACGAGTCATAAAAGAGCCAAGGTTGCCTACCCCTGGTATAACCACTGTATAATGTACCCAACAATCATGTAATCAAAATTCAGGTGCTTGGCAGCCTGCCTGTACCATAAAGGCACTTCAACTCCCTCCACCTGCCTTTGTCTCCCCATCTATGCACTTTGGGGGTCCTGCTGCCCTATGCTCCACTGTCTCAGATTACCTTCTCTGTCTTCTTGCTTCTGCTGCGGATGAGGCCTGGCCCTTCATTCCAAAAAGCCCCTTAAGCACAAACAACACTGCTGGGCTGGCTTCTTGGAGCTCCATGGCTGTTTCTGGCTGGGGCTGTTCCTTGCTTCTACTTCTCGTAGGTGTGCCAAGAAACCCAGTCCCAGTTCAGGGCATAAGCAAAAGCAAGCAAGCAATGATCTTCAGAGCTGTGACTATGGGAAACTGAGTGACAGTCCCAAGGGCTGCAGGAAGCAAAGAGGACTTACTCCTCAACTTACAAACATAACTGAGCTTAGAATTACACAAGTTGTGGCAGTCATTCAGCAGGTCACATGACCATTCCTGATTGACAACCATTTTTTTGCAGTGGCATTAACTGAACGCCACAATTGTTAAAACACTGGACTTTTTAAGTGAATCCATTTTCATCAATGGGATTTGTTTTTCTCCAATAAACACTGGAAATTGGCAAAAAAAATGCAGAAAACTGCAGTCACATCTTCTTCTTCTTCTTGTGCCATATCCGTTATCGGACGTTGGCGATCATGTTGGCGATCCTGTTTTTATCAGTAGCCGCACGAAAAAGTGCTGCTGAGTTTTGTCCAAACCAGTCCCTTAGATTTTGAAGCCACGATGTTCTTTTTCTGCCTGGACCTCGTTTGCCTTCAATCTTTCCCTGGAGGATTCAATGGAGTATGCCGTATTTTTCTGGGTGTCGCATCACATGTCCGAAATATTCTAATTTTCGTTTTTTAATTGTTTTGATGATTTCCCTGGGCTTTCCCAGGTGGCTGATCACCTCATTTCTGATCTTGTCAACCCAGCTTCTACGTAACAGCCGCCTGTAAATCCACATTTCAGATGCTTCTAGTCTCTTCAGGTGGCCTTCTGTCAGGGACCAACTCTCTACTCCATAGAGCAGGATAGCAGTCACATAGGATGCTGCAAATTGCCATAAATGCAAGCCGATTGCCAAGTACCCAGAATGGAATCATGTGACTGCAGAAGAGGAGGCTACAGCCATAGGAACGTGACAAAAAGGTTGCAAGTACCTCTGAGAAGATGCCTCGTTAAGTCAAAGAGTTACTAAGCAATTAAGTAAAGACTACCTGTAAGCAAGGAAGCAAGAAGCAGCTCCAGAGCTGCAGCACTACGAAGCCCAGCATCAGCCAGGATGCTGCAAGAAGGCAAAGCAAACGGACGGCAGCTGCAGAACTATGGTGCGCCAGGAAACCCAGCCCCAACCTGACTCAGCAGCATGACTCAAAGTGGCTTCTTGGTGCAAAGAGCCAGGGCAGATATACCATGTCAGTAGCAGGAAGCAAGGAGACCGTGAAGGTTGGCAGGAGGTCTACGACAATTGGCTGCAGCTGCCTGACCCCGCCTGCTTCACTCCAGGCCCCCCAATCCCAGCCGACCCACTGTGGGAATTTCTCCCCCGCCAGCCTTTGCTCCTCCCCTGCCACTCCTCCCCCACCGCCTAGCCCCAGGCGATTCACCGTGGGAAAAATCACCCTGGCTGATTCACCATGTGGGACAATTCACTGCAATCCTGGCCAAGAGGTGGGCCTCTGCCTTTCCATTGGTCCTGGCGCTCAGAGGGTGGGGTGGGCAGCCAAGAAAACAAACAAATAAACCATCAAACAAATCGACCCAGAGTTCTCACTGAAGGCACTTATGACCAGTCTCAAATTATCCTACTTCAGACACATTCTGCAAAGACCTAGCTTTCTGAAGAAGTATTTAATAGAAAGGTGAACAAGGATAACCAGCAGTAAGGTGGATGAACTCAGTACAGTAGTGATGGGTGGAACACCTGAAAGCTCACGTTAGAGATAGATCATCATGGAGAAAATGTATGTGTCTGCTAAGAATCAATAGCAAGGCACCCAACCAGGGCACCCAATCAATCCATCCATCCATCGGTCAGAGACACTATAGATGTCAAATGGCACATGCAGTGAAATAAATAGCCCCTGCAACAAACACGACGAGGAGGAGGAAGAGGAGAGTGCAGATGCACTTCAAAGCAAAGCAATATTCACCATTTTGGATCTTACCTTTCTTATGTTGGTCCCTACGTAGCTCTTAGGCTCCTCTTTAAACTGAGATGATCTGGAATAATATAAATAAGACAAAGGTATGCAGTCATTAAGTGTGACATCACATGACTGTGCTGCATGGCAATAGCAATGCTGTCAGTCCCAGTTGCAATGTGTGCTATAGAGCATGGAAGGGCTGTATGCTACTCATTCATTCATTCATTCATTCATTCATTCATTCATTCATTCATTCATTCATTCATTCATTCGATTTGTATGCTGCCCATTTCATCTAGAGCAGGGGTGTCAAACTCAATTTCATTGAGGGCCGCATCAGCATTGCGGTTGCCCTCGGGGGGCCGGGTGTGTGTGGCCAAGGTGGGTGCAGCCTACTGGGTGGGCGTGAATGGAGTGGGTGTGGCCTACTGGGTGGGCATGGCCAGCTCTACATCGTTCCCATCAAGGGTGCCTGTGGGGGCCTGGGCAGGAGTGGGACAGATCTGAGGGTCTCTGGCAGAAGGGGGTGGGACCAGGGCAAGTGCCAAGGCATGGTCCATTTCTTCATGCCTCACAAAGGGTGACACCTCCCCAGCATGCACCCAGGGGGTGGGGCCGCCGCGGCAGGGGCTGGTTCCTCGCTGTTTCCAGACGGCCTTGTGGAGCTAAGACTGAATGCATTTCAGCATAGATGGCCACCACAAAATTGTACATTGGCTCCCGGCCGGCCTGGGCCAGGGCCAAGGCAGAGGGGGTCGTTCCCTCACTGTTTCCAAGATGGCTTCACGGGCCACATGAAACCACTTCGTGGGCCGCATCTGGCCCCCGGGCCTTGTGTTTGACATGTCCGAATTAAGGTATAATATTGAGATCATGGAAAATAATAATTTTATTTTAGACTGCATTAATCAGACCACACTTGGAATGCCCTCTCCAGAAGGGTGCTGATGAATTGGAAAGTGTGCAGAGAACAGCAACAAAGATGGAAACTAACCAAAGAGAGAAGCAACCTAGAACTAAGGAGAAACTTCCTGACAGTTAGAAGAATTAACCAGTGGAACAACCTGCCTCCAGAAGCGGTGAATGCTCCAACACTGGAAGTTTTTAAGAAAAGACTGGACAGCCATTTGTCCGAAATGTTATAGGGTTTCCTGCCTGAGCAGGGGGTTGGACTCGATGACCTCCAAGGTCCCTTCCGACTTTTTTATTATTATTATTATTATTATTATTATTATTATTATTATTATTATTATTATTATTATTATTATTATTATTATTATTATTAATATAAAAACAGAATTTATGACCCTGAGGATTTCACTGAGCTACAACTCATTGTTGGACATGATTGTTGATGAGGATTGAATCTGCCTGTAACCATAATTCAGCAACATCAGCAGCTTTATTTCAGCCACAGATTCCCCTTCTGCACTTTGCCTCCTTGTCTGCAAAGCAGATATTTTTTTAAGAGATTCTGGCCTCACTGCTTCAGGAGTTTATACTGGGTAGGCTACCTGTCACTGCTTCTTGAACTATAGTGCTCAGAATTGGGGCACTTATCACTAGAGCAGAAATGGGTGGCAAGCTGAATGTTATTAAAGCTTTCCAGCTCTGCAGGCTGCTTGGATTTCCAGGGGTAGTACCAGTTTTTTTTTAGTTTTTAGATCACTGCTGCATTCTGAGTTAACAAGAATTTATTTTATAATACATTTAGAAGAGTAAAAATTGTCAAATAAACAAGTGCAGCTAACGAGTAGGCTGACTTGGTCGCTCAACAGCGAGACACTGGTGAAGCGGCCACAGCAGCGCCTGCATTTTCTGCGTCGCATGAGAAAAGCACATCTTCCTTCCCCTGTCCTGACCACTTTCTACAGGGGGACGATCGAGAGCATCCTGTCATACAGCATCACAGTCTGGTTTGGAAGCATCACTGCTTCAGACAGGAAGGCAGTGCAGAGAGTGGTGAGGACGGCCAAAAAGATCATTGGCAGTTCCCTCCCTCCCTCCCATCCAGCACATGAGCAGGGTCCATAAGATTATCTGGGACACTACACATCCTCTTCACAACCTGTTTTCCTTGTTACCTTCTGGGAGGAGGGGGCTTCGTGGTGTCCATAGCAGAACATCCAGATTCAGTCACAGTTTTGTTCCATACAGCATTAACCTTGTGAATTCTCAAGCTTCCTCCTTCCGTTATATATTCAAGATGGACAGTATTTAATATTTATTTGTTATGTACATGTAGGAGTGTGGGTCTATACATACGTTGTACATAGTATGTTTTAGGTGTGTGTCATGTAAGTGTTTCACTTTGAGAGCGGGCAACTAAATTTCATTTTTGATGTGGGCCGTTGTGCCCACAATAAAAAAATGACAATAAAGGTTATCTTACCTTATCTTATCTTATAAAGTGTCATGGAAAATAATGACAGTATTTGCTTTCCAAGTGCCTTTAAAAATGCAGGTGATTTATTGAGATTTAGTCAGGCCAAAGGCTGTTGAATCTCAGTCAGGTGAAAGAAAGAGGAGGCCTGCACAATAAGAACACATGTCTCTTTCGTGTTCTTTGATCAGTTTCTCGTTTTCCTGGAGATCCTAAGACTCGAAATTTAGGGCAGTCTTTAATTACTGAAGCCATCATTTTTCACGGATTTGTGTTATTCCTATCACCTGATATAACATTGCTCAGTTTCATATATTTTATCCTTACTTATTGTCAATCTATCAGTGAAGAAGATACATTTTGGTGAAAGGACGAGCTTTGCAAGGACCTGGTAATAGTTGGGAGTAGAGTTTGTTACGTATATACATAAACACTAACATGTTTGGAAGTGTGCGATCTTCCCGCCCTTGAAGGGCCGTCTGAGCAGTACTGAGACAAACACAAGAAAGTTTACCTTGTGAAGAGCAGCTGTACCATGTCGACCAGAGTATGCTCTGCAGATTTTCTCAATAACTCTGAAGACAAAAACAAATAACACAGGTATCATTATCCCATGTGATATTATCTAGAGGCTTTTTCGTGTAGACTTCCCCTCCAAGTGTTGTTTACAAAGGATTACTAGAAATTTATTAAAACCAATCCAGGCTCAGCTGTACAGAAAGAAAAGGAAAGATATACCAAGTAGCTAGAGGAATGTAGAGATAAGAAAGGAAAAGACACACAGGAGCAGGAAATGATTAGCTAAGTCTACTACTTTTCTAAATAAAAAAATAAATAAATTAAAGAATGTTATCAATTTCACACATTTAGCGTATTTTATGTTTGTTTATTTATTTTCCAGCATTCGGACTTACTAATAAATACGGAAATAATATGTGCCAAAATAACATGAATGTTTATGATTGGCTTGTTTACGCTGCAGACCTACCACTAAGCCTCATCTCAAAGCATATACGGAAGCAAGACTGCATGATTTCACACACGGATTCATTTGTGAGATGAGCTCCAACCGGAGCGAGGAGGAGAGTCCTCAAGACCTGAAAGAAGAACAAATCAATATGAAATGTTGTGTTCCAATCACATTTTAATACCACAGACATTCATAGGAGGTAACAAAGAAACATTTTAAATATCAGCTAAACAGTGGAAGAATGCTTCTTTTAAGTATCATTCAGACCAAAGTTCCCCAACATTTCCAGCTTTGAGGACCGGGGGCAGGTGGAGGGGTATGCGTGAGCGGCTGGCAAGCACGCATGTACGAGCACAGCTCCATTTACACAAGTGGCATGCACACATACCCACAGCTCACATGAACGGAGCACATGTGCACGTGCTTGCCTACTGCTCACACAAGTGAGGATGCACGTCCATGTGCTCGGTTCAATAAAGTCTGACACCTTGGGAAATGATGCAATATTTCCTTTTTTTAACTTGGCCTATCCACAGGGAGATTTTCTTGCAGAATGCATTAACTTTGTCTCCCATGATAAACACGTTATGACTGTGGCCCTGGAGCAACCAATTAATTCATTTAGCTTTTTAAATGTGTCAGCCAAATAGCCAACACAGGACACCCAGAAGACATTTTTAAATTTTTCTGCTAGGGGTGATGAAACATTTCCTGATGAATGTTTCATCACCCCTAGCAGAAAAGTTTAAAAATGTCTTCCGGGTGTCAGGAACAGGCGCGTTTCATCTTGTAGCGCGAATAATCTCAATAATGTTTCACCTCTCGACAGCCAACGTACTTCTGTATGAAAGAGTGCTATGCTCGGAATCCAAATCCTTTCATAATTGTCGGAATAAACATCATTCAATAGCCGGCTTTTGATCAAATGTAATATAGTATAATAGGATCTCGGAGTCCTAGTGGGCAATCACTTAAATATGAGCCAGCCGTGTGCTGCAGCTGCCAAAAAGGCCAACACAGTGCTAGGCTGCATTAACAGAGGGATAGAATCAAGATCACGTGAAGTGTTAATACCACTTTACAATGCCTTGGTAAGGCCACACTTGGAATACTGCATCCAGTTTTGGTCACCACGATGTAAAAAAGATGTCGAGACGCTAGAAAGAGTACAGAGAAGAGCAACAAAGATGATCAGGGGACTGGAGGCTAAAGCATATAAGGAAAGGCTGCTGGAATTGGGTATGTCTAGTTCAATGAAGAGAAGGACGAGGGGGGACATGATAGCAGTGTTCCAGTATCTCAGGGGCTGCCCCAAAGAAGAGGGAGTCAAGCTATTTTCCAAGGCGCCTGAAGGCAGGACAAGAAGCAACGGATGGAAACTAATCAAGGAGAGAAGCAACCTAGAACTAAGGAGAAACTTCCTGACAGTTAGAACAATTAACCAGTGGAACAACCTGCCTCCAGAAGCGGTGAATGCTGCAACACTGGAAGTTTTTAAGAAGAGACTGGACAGCCATTTGTCTGAAATGGTATAGGGTTTCCTGCCTGAGCAGGGGGTTGGACTGGATGACCTCCAAGGTCCCTTCCAACTTTATTATTATTGTTGTTGTTGTTGTAGCATCCTCCAAAATGTCATGTAACAATGGGCTCATCCGTTTAGAAGCAAGTGCATGTCTATGCAAGATACAATGATTTGAAACAATGGAACTATTTCTTGTCTTAACTCATCCTATCAACGCCTGAAGTTCTTCCTGAAATAGCTGATGCACCATCGGAACAAATGGCTACACACCAAGTCCATAATATTCCATAATTTGTTCACTGAAAAAACTGTCAATTATTGTGCATATTTCTTTCCCAGTCTTTCTGCCAGGCAGTGTTCCAGTATACCGTCTGAATCAGGAATATGCACAAAGACAGTTACTTGCGTTTCACCAGCAATGCCAGTGCTTTCTTCCAATTCAAATGCAAATTTTTCTGCTGCTGTGATTTTTTTTCCACCACTTGTTGAGTAACATCCACAGCCATACCTTATATTCGCCTTTGGGCAGTCAGAACATGGAATATCAAGAATAGCATCAGTCATTTTTTTCATCAAAGGGAACTGAAGCAACTGCAATGGCAAGAGGGAACCACAACTTCTTCAACGATTGTGTGAGGCTTATTTCATTTCGCTGCTATCAAGGACAATTTATAAGATGCTTCCAGACATTGTTTTTCAAGATGGTTGTGGACTTCACTGAAAGTAGCACAATGTTTTTATAAGTTCGTCTCTCTTCTTTACGAAAAAAGGCTACGGGCTTTTTGGTGCGCTATGTTTTGTTGTTAAATGTCTCTGGAGCAAAGGCGGCTTCACGGAATGCTCGAATAGTACTTCATTGCAGATAACACAAACAGGAAGCTGCGGGTTGTTTTCTTCCCACAAAATAAAATTCACACTTCAAATAATGTTCACTGTATTTTCGATTAGGTTGCCAATTTTAATTTCTTCGGTGGCGGTTCCTTTGATGAATCACTTTCCTTTTGCACTGACGAAAGTATGATGAATTTATCCATATTTATTAATGTGCACCACTACGTTGGTCTCACACCGCCACACTAAGCGGTAGCAAAACTGAATAACTGGAAAGGAGAAAAATGACAATCCAGATCAGCGGTTCTCAACCTATGGGTCGCGACCCCATTTGGGGTCGATCGACCATTTCACGGGGGTCGCCAAGCAAGGCTGTCCGCCATTTTTTTCCCTTTTCCGGAGGGTGCCTTACCTCCCTTGGGCTGGGCCAGCTGGTGGTCGGCCTGCTCCGTCTCTGCCGCCTGACAGCTACGCCTCGGCTGGCGCAGGGGGCGGAACCACGCATGCGCGGCGCTCCCGGGCAGGGAAAGTCAACTTACGACCGGTTGGGTAGTCCTCAACTTACGACCGGTTTAGTCCTCGACTTACGACCGGTTTAGTCCTCGACTTACGACCGGTTTAGTCCTCGACTTACAACCGGTTGGGGATCGCGGCATTAAAAAGGTTGAGAACCACTGATCCAGATGGTGAGGAGAAATCTAATGACCTGTCATGATTGGTAAAGATAGGCGGATAGGAGTGGAGTCGACGTATCAGCCCAGAATAGACATTTGACATTGAAGTTTCCTGCCTTTTCTTGTATGTTCTCCGGCTATTTTGAGCGCAAGAAGGAATGATGAATCATCGGTTGAAAGCCTTCAGCTCCTCCACAGAAAATGGGGAAAGAAATCCATGGCAAGTCTTTCCAATCCAATGAATAATACCGTACATGATGACTCATGCATTTGACTGCATTTCATATTCAAAACACTGAGAAAAGTCTAATGGTATTATCTTGTTTAGGACGATGTCGCTGTACCACCTGCCATGTGCCAAAGTAACACCAGTGATATGCATACCACCGATTGAAAAACACCAGTCTAGAACATCTGAATCAACTTACTCCCCCAAAAAACTAACCATTCAACGGTTTCACATTCTTTTCCTAATAAAATTAGAAAATGTTTACTAAAGATGTTCAATTTTTGTGTGTCATATGTTTAGTCAGAATCTCTTAACAGGATTCCCATGAATTCAGATGAAGTTCTGATCACAATGTACATCACAGTTTTGCAGGATACATATAATCCAAAAGATTTCCACCGTGTCCAGCATACCTGCAAGATCTTCATCAAGACAACCTCATCACTTGCAGGATCTGTGCCCACAAATCGGGCATGTGTTACAGCATCTGCCACGTTTTCCATTCCCTCAGCTGTGCCCTCATGATTCGAATCTATGAACACAAAATAATGTTTAATAAACAAAGTTCAGAGTAAACAGACTTTTCAGTAAAATATGCCACATTTATATTCATGGGGGGATATTAAGTGACGACTACCTTCATTATCAATATTTTTATTTTTAGCCATATAAAATACAAAACATAATCCTATTTATTATAAAAACCAATCAGAATTTCAGTTTTTCTGGGATCATAAATATATAATTCTCAGGGAAAGAATGGTTCTCTAAGTCATCAGTTTTAGTTGAGAATAAAATTGAAAATATTCTCAATCCATACCTATTAGTCCATATGAAAGGAATTTGTTTACTGATGTCAGAGCCAGTCCAGTAATCGGGCCTGTAGTATCTTCTGATCGAATAACTTCCAGAAAAGGTCGAAGAAAAACAATAGCTTCAATGGCTGAAAGTTCTAAATCAGAAGACAAAATTAAACATCATAAAAATTACTTGTACAACAGGGAAAAGATTCCTCCAGTGAAGTTAGAATCATGCTGAGATTCAAGTCTGGCAGCCCCAAGATGGGTTGGCTGGTTTATTTATTCACACTTATATTCAAATAAACTACACAAAGAAATTTAAAAGTTCTTTGTCTTATAATGAGGGAAAAAATTATTTGATCCCCTGCTGATTTTGTACATTTGCCCACTGACAAAGAAATGATCAGTCTATAATTTTAATGCTAGGTTTATTTTAACAGTGAGAGACAGAATAACAACAAGAAAAATCTAGAAAAACGCATTTCAAAAAAAGATATAAACTGATTTGCATTTTAATGAGTGAAATAAGTATTTGATCCCCTTTCAATCAGCAAGATTTCTGGCTCCCAGGTGTCTTTTATAAGGTAACGAGCTGAGATTAGATTAGTTCTCCTAATCTCAGCTTGTTACCTGTATAAAAGACACCTGTCCACAGAAGCAAGCAATCAATCAGATTCCAAACTCTCCACTTTGGCCAAGACCAAAAAGCTGCCAATGATGTCAGGGGCAAGATTGTAGACCTACACAAGACTGGAATGGGCTACAAGCAGCTTGGTGAGAAAGTGACAACAGTTGGTGCGATTATTTGCAAATGGAAGAAACACAAAATAACTATCAATCTCCCTTAGTCTGGGGCTCCATGCAAGATCTCAGCTCGTGGAGTTTCAATGATCATGAGAACAGTGAGGAATCAGCCCAGAACTACCCGGGAGGATCTTGTCAATGATCTCAAGGCAGCTGGGACCATAGTCACCAAGAAAACAATTGGTAACACCCTACACCAGTGGTGGCGAACCTATGGCACGGGTGCCAGAGGCGGCACTCAGAGCCCTCTCTGGTGGCACGCGTGCCGTCGCCCCAGTCCTAGGTCTTCAGCTGGGTTCTATAAAACCTTTTCACTTTAGGCCTCCGCCGCCGTGTGCAAAAAAAAAAAAAAAGGTTCAATCAGTCAATTTCAACTTCTCGCAGGAAAAAAAAAAGATCTTGCAAAGTTGGAATTGATTGATTGAACTTTTTAGTCCCACCCAGTCTGCCGTTACCACCGCAGCCACGCCCATCCAATGGGCCACAAACACCCCCAATTGGCCACACCCAGCCAATGGGACACACCCAGCCAATGGGACACACCCAGCCGGCACCTGATGATGCATAAGTGGGTTTTGGGTTGCAATTTGGGCACTCGGTCTCTAAAAGGGAGGTGATCCCTGATCTCCCTTCCTTCCGCCGCGCCCTCAAGACGTGGTTGTTCCAGCTAGCGGGACTGGCCTAGGGGATTTTATAGGGGTTTTAATTACTTTTAATTGGACATATTCAAATATTTCGTTTTAATTAAATTTTTAATTAGGCATAATATGTATATATGTTAGTATTTTATCTAATTTGTCAGCCGCCCTGA